CAAGCGATCCTCCTGCCTCAGCCTCCCGACTAGCTGGGACTACAGGTATGCGCCACCATGCCCGGCTAATTTTTTGTATATATTTTTAGTTGTCTGATTAATTTCTTTCTATTTTTAGTAGAGACGGGGTCTCGCTCTTGCTCAGGCTGGTCTTGAACTCCTGAGCTCAAAGAATCCGCCCGCCTCGGCCTCCCAGAGTCTGAGAGGTATTCTTACTCAGCAGCAAATCCAGAGGGGTAGAAGGGGGCTATTCTCATTTGTGCCCACTTCCCGCTAAAGAAATTTTAAAGAAAACTCCTACAAGTAATCTCTCAAACCATGGGGTTTTGACCCTTTCAGTTTAAGAAAGAAAACAAACTGCAGTTTCTTGTGCTCAAATTTGTTCTTTTCACCTCAGTGGTGAAGAAACTTTAGGATGTGCAGGAAATTTTGTCAGAAGTAGAAGAAACCAAGGAGAGAGCAGTGCTACAGGTGGAAGCAAGTTTTATTCAAATTATATTACTTAGAATCATTTTCAATGGAATGAATTCATTTTAAAAAACAAAAAAACTAACCTGTTTTGATACTGGTGTCCACACTGTGAACATTCAAAGTCCCAAGAAAAAGAATATAGGAAGAGCTTTTCAATGTGAGGTTCTATTTTTAAGAGCAGGGGAAATGCAAACACAGGGCTTTCCATATCACCTTCAAAAAGAAAAGGAAAATTATTGTTCATAATTAATAACTGCAAAAAGTAAACCAAAATTAGCTGTTGTCTTTTCTCACTATATTTACAGTATGAATACATGAGAAGACAGTGTTACAGAGTAAATCATTCACAGTTGGGTGGCAGGGGGTTCAAATATTTTTCTAAAAATGTCCGGCACAAAGATTTAATTATCACCTCAGTTTCTTTCATTTTTCTTGGAAGACATTTATGAAAACCTCTTAAGACAAAAAGCACAAAAGACCTAAAGTGGTTTCTCAGATCTTTCTAGCTTTTCTCAGGAAGAAAAAAACTTTAAAACTATAATAGCCTTAGAGTACATTAAAACAAAAATTATGTAAATGGTTTGCTATAGATATTAAAAAAATACTGTAGAATAATATCAGAATTGGACAGAATCATTAAAACATCACTTCTATTCTGATCCTCTTGTTCTACATGTGGAGAGGGCACAATGTTAGGTAGGGATCAAATCTGCAGGTGGTGGGTACAGGTCAGGAGGGTGGTTCCTAGGGGCAGAGAAGGGGGGAACCAATCAGGGGGAAGGACTGCAGGAAAACACAAACACCTGGCAATCATTTGGTAATATCCCACACCTGCTATAAGCCCGCCCCCAGACCAGGCCAATAAAAGGAAACCACCTAGGAGTCCTCAATGTTTTTCTCCACTTGTGGAGACTGACCCGTTCCTCTCAGAGGAACATATTTTCACTTTGGGTAGCTTCCTTCTTTACTTTCACTTTGTATAGTTTCTTTCTTTTCTGTAATTAACTGTTTGTGTGGGATTGCTTTATATTTGTGATCATGCCATCATTGGCTCAACTAGGTACCAGTACTCACTCCTGACACTGGGAACCGAGGACCAGAGAACATTGAGACAGACCTAACAATGACACACAGGGATTAAAGGACAGGCCTCAAATCTGTGCATTCTTTATCTACCACTCGTCTAAACCTTTTAGTCTAATCCTTTCCTTTAGCAATTCAACAACTTTAAGACTAGAGAAGACCTGAATTTTGTTGCCATTAAAACAAAAACTGAACGGTCAATGCTGGCTTCTAGCTTTGAGACCAGCAAGTAAGTTAGATAGGATTTAAATTCTTCTCACACTCTCCAATTGGCTTCTCTCCTTCCAATCCTCAGACAAGCTTAGATGCTGCCTTACTAATTTGGCCCCAGAGAGAATGAGTCCTATCCCCTCCTTCCCCTGGACAGAGCTTCACTTTCATGGTTCAGTTCTCCCCTGGAACTACAATTGCCTGGAACATGGCCAGGAACAGTCACCTTGGCAGGACCACAAGGCAGACAGTAGGTGTTACTGGCCAAGCATATTCTATTTTAATAGAATATTAAAATAATTAAGGCTATTTTAATAGTCACCTTTGTGGTATAGTCCCACTGCTATTTTTGTACAAAAACATTAAATTTTTTAGAAATAGAAATACTAATCAATCTCTGAGAAATAAAAACACATAACACTGTACACATAAACAGTATGTAGTATGTAGCACAAGTTTGTAATTAGTCAACCTTT